ATCTGCCCTCCAATGTATTCAGTCAAGTCCTTTATCCAGGTACATTCGTTCACCTCATTCCCCTCAACTGTCTCCTTCTCGGGTAGCAGATCCCGACCTCGACTACCCCGAGGATGCAGCGTCGAGATCGGCGAGCCACAGCAGCGGTGTGATTATCAGCGGAAACTTGACGCCATGCAAGGCCAAGTCGGGATGACGGGCAGAGATCCCATCAGCGAGACTGGGAGGATGATCTTGAGCACGACGAGCACACACAGCAGAACCGGCGGGATGGAGACGAACGGCTTCGAGATCGATACTCATCGACGAACCGAACTACGTTCCCGCATAGCAAACACGTGACACCGCTCCAACCCTTACTAACTATGCAAAGCAAAAAATGTATTTCCCGCTAGAACAGGAAAAGATACATTAGCGGAATCCATGCATCCTCTTCCTCTTTCTACTGCGCAACCTTCGTACCTCATACCAATTAGTCCGCTACTCAGATTGACTTTCTGACGTGGCCAATCAACCCAGAATGATCTAAAACCCCCGTTTGGTATCTTCGTTTGCCAAAAACGGCCGAGAAACGGCCGAGCAATTCAATTTGCACTCGTCTTCACCCGTTTCCCTTCCTTTCTCCTTCGAACGTACCTGGTGAGAAATCGCGTCCAGGTTCATCCCCGCCCCCTTTTTTTTGTTCTTATCGTGCTGCTTCCTCACTCGTGGCGCTGCGCCTTCCTGTGCTATCTTTCTCTTCTCTAACTCTTCCTCTTTCTCCTCCTGTACTACCTCTCCCCCACTAATCTGTTGCCTCACCTTCTCGGACAGCATCCACCATACCAAACGAAGAGAGGGCTCGCCCCCTCTATTTATGCGAGTCAGCCTTGTGCAGGGGCCAGGCCAATCTTCCCTGTACCATTCCAATTTTAACGGATGTCCCGAAGGACCAGGCCGTAGACTGCGGCCCCAAGACTCCTTCGCACGTTGACCGGGCCCAGCCGACTCAGAAATATTCAATATTACCCATCAGTTTCCATTATCTGGTTTCGAACTTATGTCTGTACTTCACCGACTCAGTGGTGTATCCCCTGAGCTAGGTTGTTGGGTCCACGGCCGGTCCTGGTGCCACCGTCGGACCACGTTCAAGAAACGGGACAAAAATAGGAAATAAGAAATTTGGAAATAAAAATAGTAATAATAACTCTTAGAAGAATTTTTTAGGAAAATGGGACAGGAACCGTTGGTACTCGGTCATGCCCTGCGGGCCCACGGTCGGATCCCCCAACAAAACTAAGGGGGATAGTCCCGCGGGACCCTCGACCCCTCAGTTCCCTCTATAGCGCTTCTCTGCTCCTCCAATGCTGGCTGCTGGCCTCGATCCCGGGATCCGCCTGGTGGAAATTCAATGCTGTAACCGATAGGGCTAAGCCCAAACCTGACTTGGCTATGTGCTTCTTGGTATGTGAATAGGATGACCAGCCGGCCTGGGCCTCGAGGTGGGGCCTCAGGCCGTTTTCTAACCTAGAGCTCGCGTCCTAGTGCCCTCGTAATGCCACATTTGGCTGTCTCAAGGGCAAGGCTCCATTTGGCCCGCCACACGCGCTTGCTCCACCGTGCTATGGCTGCGGACCAAGCCTTTCATAGCCCGCCACGACCGCCTTTTTACCGCCCTTCAGCCGACGAAACCCCGACTTCCGCTCTGGTCCGTGCCATCCTTACTTGGTTTCAGCGTCGACTCCTACTGTCGACGGTGAATGGTCAACCTAGTGCCTGCAAAATTTCAGGCGGTGCGACCCTGAAACGTCGGTCCCCATTAAGTCAGACAACATCCTCCTCTAGTCACAGCCTTACCAAGTCAACTTCATGCCGTCCGAAATTTTGCCTGAGCGCACGAGGTTGCGGCTTCCTCATAAATTCTAGTCTAGCACTTACTTGTTCTACCGGCGTCTCATAGCCTGCCTTGATCAATCGTTTGGCCCGGCTAACGCCCGCCCGCAAAGTGCATGCTCACACACTCTCTAATCAACAAAAATGGGACGCGCAACAAAAACGGAACGCGCACCACCAGCTTTCTTCCTGTAAGCTGCAAAAATGTGCCCAAATACCCTTGTAAGGGTATTCGGACCGACAGTTTTCCGGACCTTATTAAGCGACGTCCTCGTCGCGTCGGACAATCAAAACTATAAACACAAGCACATTTGCTGACGAGGAAGTAACCATTCCGACTCACCGGTCCGACTCCGTTCGAGGTGTTCTTATCAATCTACTCCCGTCACCGCGTTTCATTGTCAGGGTTTTATCCTGGGTCTCCCACGTCCTGGCCTCGGAGTTAGGGGATACTTCGTTCCGTACTACAACGTAATACCCGCTCCCAGGTAGTAGGTTGATAACTCTTTCCCTTTGTCGTAGACATCTGCCGGTTCACCGTTGGGTGTCCTGTTTAGTCATCGTCCCTCGTACGGGGTCATAACTTAGAACGCGGGCCCTAACCGAGACCTCTCAAAATACGGGGCACCTCTAGTCCCCAAATGGTAGTGCTTACCATATCAAATATTTAATCATAATAAACACCCATCCTGGAGTCTAACACAGGTGACTTTAAGTCTCCATCTTGGTCCACCATGGAACGGTCGATCACGCCGAATCCACGGCCCACCACGTTGTTATGTAGCGATGGTGCCCTCGTTGGTTACGCAACGATAAGCAATTCTTCCTATCTTAGCACCCCAAAGGATTCCGACGCACGACTTAATCAACCCCAATGACCTTCCCTCTAGCTAAACCTCTCCGGGCGGTCGACCCTTCAAGACTTAACCTTTGGTGAGTCATGGTCCCGCTGCCAGGTTGCGCCGGTCAGCGGCCCTCGCTGGGAGTTAGGTTCCACAGTTCCAGGGATGCTAAGTATAGCCCCTTAGCTTGGCCTCACAAAATATGTCCCTTAGACTGACTTCATTGTGGTCTGACACTTTCTTCCAAAAGTCTTCTGAACAAACAAAGGATCACATACCAACTGCCCACGGGGCTACGTGGAGGGATAGTGCCTTTCTCAAACATTCCAATCAATCCCTCAGTAATTCCACAAGGTCGTGCCTCCCTTACTTTGATCAAAAGTAGGCAAGGTCACATGTTTTTTAGGGACATCTCACAATACTTTCCAAAGTTCCATCATAATTGCCAGAAACTTTCATCCATAATTTTCACAAAGTTCTTGGCCTTTCCTCGTCAGACTTACATACACACAAAAAATCATCATCATTATGGCAACTCCTTTGAATGCCCTCACAAATTTCATCCTTTTAAGAAAGTTCAATCGACCATTGGGCTTTCTTCTCTCTTCTGTGAGTCACACAAAAGACACATCTTTGGTTGTGAACTTTCCATTCATCATCATTCTATCTGGGCAAAACACATCATGTCATCTTTTTCTCCAAAATCTGAGAGCACTCTCTCCCACTACACTTTGGGCTCCACTTGTCATTGGGACAGGGATGCGCAAGTATAGTGGAAGAAAGCGCGGATCAGTTCACTTCACAACATTCACTTCATCACACTATCATCCATATGGGCAAGTCCACAAACTGCAAGTGAGTGTGACACACCATACCCATAAAAAAAACAAGGTTCGAGATTCATATAAGTACACAGGATATGAGGCCTGCAACAAGCAAAGACTCCTGTCCTTATAAAAAAATTCAAGGTACTGTACAAAAAGAGTCCAAGTATCCAACAAGGAATCAAGGTATCCAAGTGTGAAAATATCAGAAATCGATAGTCACTCCCTACTCACGAGTGTCACTCTGCTCTAGATGATGAAGAACCATAACTTTACACAGTGGTATTATAAGAACACTCCCCACTACACTTGCGAAAGAGAGAAAAATAGTTAGAATCGCACACAGAGTTATTTTATGTGCCGAAACGTCTAAAGTAGATATCTCACTATTAGCTCAACTCGCTGATGTACATGGGTCTGATTCAATCCTCCATGCATCCTCCTATATACAAACAACCATCAGTCAGAGACTCAGAGATGTCTCGCGTATACTAGACTCACATTTTTCCGGACCTTATTAAAAAATTCTACTCCTGGTCACTCATGACCTCCTGCAGCTGCCTACACAACTGCGCCCTCACCCCATCACGAGTCTTGGGAACCAGGACTCCATTCCTATCTCTCCACACTCCAGATGACTCTCTGATGGCCAAACCATTTGCCTCGTCCTTGAGGCTTTTAGGGCAGTGGTCATATCGATGTTCGCCCTTCTTGCAGTAGAAGCATTTACCAATCTTCTTCTAAGTCATATTGTCCTCTTCCTGCGAAGGTACTGATGACGGGACTGTTGAGATCTTACTCGTGACCTCCTGTTGTGGGACCTCTGGGGAAGTGGGGCATGTCGCTCTGTCATCTGCTCGCATCACCTGCTCGCCGACACGTCCCTCTGGCTCCGAACCAGTGGCCCAAAACCCCAATGCGTCTCGCAGACCTGCAACTAGAGGCATATCCTGAGGTACAGTCGATGCCTGACATCTCTTCAAATCCCTCTTTGACTCAGCCTCAACCATGGTCTGACCCACGCTCTCCTGACCCTCCTGCTGTCCCATGGTCTCTCCCTGGGTTGTAGGTGGAAATACTTCAACTCCTATGGCCTCTGCTGGTGGTCTCTCTTTTCGTATCGCTGGCCCCTGTCCAAGTGTCAGGCCAACTGACATCCTCCACTCAAACCCTCCGACCTCTGAGTCCTTCTCAGCTAGTGCCCCTTGCGGCTCCAACATCTCATTGTCTATCAGGGGAATCTCCTCACCCTCCTGCTGGTCCACCTTCTCTTCTTCCTTCTAGCATTTGAAGGCTTCTTCTGCAGGTCGTTCCCTGATCTCAAACCCTTGGACCTCTGTCCAATCCACTACTGCAGTTGGAGCCTGCCGCGCATACTTGGTCTCGAGATCTTGTATCCTCTTCTCCCATTCTGCCTCCTTTGCTTGGAAGGAGACCTGCTGTGCCTGTAGATAGGCCCTCAGGACGTCATTGACCTTATTAAGGGTCTGATTGACCTACCTGACGGCCTCGTTTTTCGCCCAAACCTTTACCATATCTGCCTTCACTGCCTCCATCTCTTTGCCCTGTCTCTCCAAACCCTTCTTCAGGTCTTCAACTTCTCTTTCCCATTCTACTCTTTGGCCATACGCTTTCTGTGCCACTTTTGTCAGCCTTTCCCCAACCTTCTCATCTGAAGCTCTGGCTGCTGCGAAACCCTCCTTCACTACACCCCTCAAGTTGAGTAGGTCTGCAGAGACTAACCTGACCCCCATCTCCTGATGATGCCCTCTAGACCTCCCTGCAGCGTCCATCAGCTTGTCAAAGCTGACCAAGACCTCTGAAAATAGGGGAAGGTCCTCCTCCTGAGTGCGAGTGCCCTTACCACTTTTGTCATCCACCTCCTCAGGCTCTTTTACCTGCTGCATCCTCTCGTGCAGCTCTGCAAGGTTCTTCATCCTGAGCTGAACCCTGATCTCTTGCTCCCTTGCTGCTCTCTCCTTCCTATCCAATTCCCTCTCTTTGGCAGATTGCTCCTCCCTTTGCTCCTGTACCTATGACTCATGAGGCTCGCCTGACTCCATGTCTGGCATAGGACAATCCACCTCCCTCTAAGCAGGCTGTGGAGGCACCCCTGGACCACTTGACCCTCCTGCTCTCTCGGGCCCATGGGATCTGTGCTCCTTCCTTTTGTCCTTCCTCTGAGTCCCTGATGACATGTCTCGCTCAAAGGTCCTCCTCTCCTTTGTCTCTGGCTCCCTCCTCTTTTCCAGGCTCCTTTCCCCTATTTGACGTGCTGGAGTATAGTGGTCCCAGAGCAGCTTCTTGCAGTGTCCCCAGTTCGTAGCAGGTACCACAATAGACCTGACAAAGGGTCTGATGTGTCGCCTCATGCACAGGAGGAAGCTCCCCATCCTTTGCTTTCCTGAAATATCAAGCTCATCCGCATATCGGTCATAGACCCATAGAAACTCCCCCAGGTTAGCGGAGTCGAATCGAATGGGTTGTCCATTTCTCCCTACTGGCGACGGGTGCAAACCCTCCATCTTTCTCTCAAAATCCTTTCAGGTTAGTGACTCCCTGACAAGGTTGGCGATGGGGTCTGTCCACTCGCCTGTGCCTCGCACCTCCCTCAACATCCTGGTGCCATCCCATCCAAACTCCTGAGCGTGCCTCTCAAACTCAATCAGGAACAACTCAATGATCCATCCCTGGAAAACTGGAGGCTTGTCTTCTCTCCTGGTCCCCATCTGCGTCCTCTGTCTGGTCGTCCCCAGAGGGGTTTCCACTGGCTCTGCCCCTCCCCTCCCTCTTGGCATGGCTGCCCCAAGCGGTGTCAAGCCTGCACAACAAGGAGGAGACAAACATGAGCACATAGAGGGTAAGCAGTCCTGGACGAACTCAATAGGAGACATACATAGCCCTCCCATAACTATCCCAGCTATCTGCCTATCCATATATGCATACGTACACACACGAGTCTACCCAAAAAGTCACAACCTGTCACCCTATTGTACTGAGAACAATATCCTATATACCCTACTTATACTAATGTTTCTATATAAAGCGCTCAGAAAATGATTCTAACCGGTGAGGTCCATGCTCACCTCGTCTCGAGCAACTAACTTTTTTAGCCTCGAGCCTGACACCCAGTCTTTCCATGCCGTCCCATTCAACTCCTCAATCTGGTAGGCTCTATGCTCACCACACCTGGTGACCCTGTATGGCCCCAACCACCTCTTGTCCAACTTCCGCGACCACTGCTTCTCCAGAGATGAGTCGTATAGCAGCACAATGTCTCCCACCTTAAGAGCCTTTTTCCTTACTCTTGCCATCTTATCCCACCTGAACTTGTCCTTGGTACGGCTGTCAGCCGTCCTACTTGCCGCCTCCTCAATCCTGTCTTCTATAGCGCCAATGTGACGTGCCCTTGAGTCAAGTAGTTCTTCAAACGTCAGATTCGTCTCGAGGTTTTGCCGCCTCCAAGTTTTCTGGAAGCTTTCGATAGGGAACGTTGCATGCCTGCCATACCATAGCGTAGCCGGTGCTTCTCCTGACAGTGATATTATCCACGAAGAAAGCGACCCTCGAAAAATTCGGCCACTGATTGGGTCTGCCATCTGTCCATTTGGCGAGAAGATTCGTGATGGTGCTGTGCCCTTTTTCCACCGGTGCATTAACTTGGGGGTGCGCTGCAGTAGTGTACTTGACGATTACCCCATACCTCTTTAACAATGCCTTCACTTCTGCACATGTGAATTCAGACTCTCTATCCATCACAAACCTGGAGACAAAGGGGTAGCGGAGATAATATTATTCGATGCATCGGGCCAGCGTCTCCCCAGTCTTCATGCGAATGGCCCTGCCATCTACAAATCCAGAGAGGTTGTCCTGCACATCAAAGATAAAATTATAACTCCCTATTCCCAGCGGCATTGCCAACAGATCCAGGTGCACGACCGCGCCAACTTCACGAACATATCTTGGGTGAAGCGGCTCCCTAGGTCTAAGAGAGGATCGCTACTGGCATGATACACAAGATTTACAATAATCATCGATCATATGTCCCATGCCATCCCAATAGTATAGTTCGTGTATCTTGAGGTAAGTCGTGTCTGTGCTTCTGTGGCCACCTGCCGTACCGTCGTGCAGTGCTGCCATTACGTCAATCTGGCGAGCGACGCCGCAGACAACTCTTCTGGGAGTCCTTCCTTTGCTTCTCATGAACAGATGGCCATCCCTTACTAGAAAGCTTGGCCTCATCTTCAAAACTCTCGCGCAAGCGTCCCTTTCCCTCATCTCACACGACATAAGCATTTCGAGTTCAAGGTATACTCCCTCATATTCCTCTGCCCGAAACGCTTCCTTAATCTTACCTTCCTCAAAATCATCATCCTCCCTCTCGTGGATCACATTATCACCCTCTTCCTGGTCTTGCACCGTATTCCTGACCACCTCTTCTTGAAGCAGCGCATTTGCCAACAGATACACCCCACCTATCACTTTCTCGTGCTTGCTTACCTGCATCGCCCCATCCTCAATCGTGAGCAAGTCCTCATGTAGCTGGTACTTGCCTGTTAAAGCCAGCTCCATCATCCAATCCACACCTGGCATTCCCTAAGAGTCTTCTTCAACATAGGGCTTAAGGACTAAGTCTGGTCGTCGTACATGTGTCCTGGTGGCACAAGCCACACAGGTCGCCCCAGAGTAACATAGTTACCCACGGCCAATGATCACGAGTTAATGTGGAGTCTCACATCCTCCTCACTGTCCAGGAACCCGTCAACTGGTGGAGTATCCTCGATCACTCCTTGGTTGTTCTTGTCCCAGTCGACTCGACTCAGCCTGTCTGCCCTGTTCTTATTTCTCGGAATTCGCTCCAACTCAAAGTCGAACATCCAGATGTACGTTAACCATCTGGCGATAGTTGGATCTGAAGGAGCGAAGTTTTTGAGAGAACCAGCTAGAGCAGTTGGGTCCACCCTCAATACAAACCTGCTGCCAAAGAGGTAGTTTCTGAAAATCCTTAAACAGTGAAGAACTGCCAAGGTCTCGCGCTTAAACTGAGAGTAGTTCCTCTCAACTATATTAAGCGTTCGACTCTCAAATCTTAGTGGTCGTTCTTCTCCATTGGGATCTCGTTGAATCAACACACCTCCTAAAGCAGTTGGTCCTGCGTCCGTTTCGACAATGAAAGGCCTGGTCATCACCGCCGCATGATCTGGTACCCCACTACTAGACCTCCTTCCACAAACTCTTTCTTCAGACCTTCTATAACCGACTCTTGCTTGTCTCCCCGCTCCCAATCTTGACCCTGACGCACAAGCTTTCGCAACTGCTCAGTCTTTGCCGCAAACCCCTTTATGAAGATCCTCCAAAACCCACATGTTCCCAGGAAGCTCCTTACCTCCGTGATAGTCTCGAATGGGGTTGGTCATTCGAGAATCTTATTGGTGTTCTTAGTATCTGGTCGACGACCCCTCTCGTCACACACAAATCCTAAGATAGTGGCTCCGCTTATGCAGTGCATTGACTTCGGCCCACTGGCAGTGAGGTTATGCTCCTTCAAAAGGTCCAGGACCTTGCACAAGTCTTACACATAATTCCAGAGAAAGCGCCTGATTCCCGGCATCACCTCCCGCTCATCCTTCCCCTTAGGCCCTTTCACGGCCATATCATCAATATAAGGCTGCGTAATGTGAGGACTTATGGACTGCATCGCCCTCACCATGTGTCTCTGGACCATAGCAACTGCATTCGTCCACCCTTGCGGTGCGACGTTCATGTGAATCAACCCTCGAGGGGTATGCATAGCTGTCATGGGTCTGTCAGATGGGTATACAAGAAATTGGTCGTAACCCGAATACAAGTCTATGAGAGATATTATGGCTCTCCCAGCGCAAGCCTCTGAAAGCACATCAGCGTTGGGGAGACCACCTTCGTCCTTCACTGTTACAACATTCAAGCGCTGCAAATCCTGTACCCATCTCAGAGTCTCATTGGGTTTGACAAAGCAAAACCAAGGGGAGGCATACGACCCACTCAAGTAGGCTGCCACATGTGTGCGGATCTTCTCATCAAGGTATTTAACTACCTTCTCTTCATCAGCTGGATTAGGATACCGCGCACCTCGCAAGTTCCATGGCTCGTGAGGCACGGTGTGTATCCTAATCATCGGGATTATGTCCACGTCCAGGCGACCTCTCTCATCATCACTGTATGCATATGCAGCGTGCCTTCCTCTTATGGTTTCCACCATAAGCTTCTCCTCCTGCGCTGTAAGGAAGCCAGACTCCCCTATAATCAGCGCTTTCTCTGTCTCAGAAGTGATATGGCACGACCCCTTTTCCGCGTCTTCTCGCATCTACCGTATCAACTATCGTTCCCGCTCGTAGTAAACTTCTTGCTCTTCAGCCAGGAGTACGGGAACAGGGCGCCATTTATGATCTACCCTTTTCTACCGCTTTGTGACCACTGCTTGAGCCCACCCCTAAAAAAAGCCGAGTTGCGCTTTGGGGCTGTGCTCCAATTGCTCCACCTATCCTTCCCAACGTTCGATATACCAATTCCATTTTTTTTGCTCCCATTTGTTCCACCACCTTCTCCCTCAAGGCTTCTACAACCTCTGGGTCCGCCATCCCATAGGTCGACACTATGTCCATAGCATCACCTATATTCGTCAGGCTAAGGGTCAGCGCCTCTGGCCCTCTTTCTTCTTCAATCTTGTTGTCTTCCAGTCTCAACCTCTCCTCTTCTGATTCTTCTATAGTGAAAGAACCAGGGTTGGACCGGTTCCTTATACTCCTAGGTCCTGTGTTCTTGCAAGTGATAACCTCATAATTTCCGCACACTGGATCGCATAGGACGAGGAACATAGTCCCGTCATGCTTGTTAAGTATGACAGTCTCTGTTTGACTTAAGAACGACCTACCAAGTAGAATAGGGTGGTCAAGATCAGGCACCACAAAAAAACAACTTCTTACTTTCATTTTTCCAATTTCCAGAATCACCGATGATTCGGTCCCTATGAAAATTGACCAACTGTTCGCCCCTATTAAGACCCCGTTGTCAGAGCAATCTATCTTCATCCCGAAGCGCGCAGCACGCTGCTCTTTTATGAGGTTCATCTCTGCGCCACTATCCACAATGGCCGTGCAACTTTCCTTTTACCACCACATCAAGGCACCCACATGCGACGGACTTCCAATCCATCTTTGTACCGGTCTTAGCCCATTCTGCCTCTTTAGGGATTAAGGTCCCTAGTCGTACACTGGCCACCATCTTTCTAGATAAACGCACTTGTAGCTCATCCCTGAGCGTTGGCGCCGAAGCCAGAACGTCCTTTAAGTTCAAAAGGTGATTATGACCCTCAAGGATTCTATCCATTATCTCCTCCACGTCAAACCCTTCCTCCACTCGAACAACATACTTATTTTTCTTTACTTCTGAGGACTTGTCCGTATCGGGCTTGGCGCCTCTCTTTTTGACCCTTTGTTCAGCCTTCTCGTCCTCTTCTTTCCTCAATCTGTCGTCTTCATCCTCCTCTTCCTCACGGACATCTACAACCTCTTTCTCCCCACTAGGCTCAGGAACATCCTTTGCTGGCTCCTCGAGGCTCACCGCCCCCTTGGCCCTTGTCCTGACAGCATGCAGTACTCTCCCTGACCTGGAGGGTGACCTATAAGTCATGCCGGACCGAGGCGTCGGCCCTGAAAACGTAACTCCTGGTAAATTTCCAGACCCACCTTGCGACCCAGGACCCATATCGTAGAGGTACACCAGTGACTCCTTACCTCTCCACTCTTTAACCTCTTCACACATATCGGCCAATTTTTGTTGGTACCTCCCGACTTTAGCCACTAAATCCTCCATCCTTTCCATTGTTTGTCGGGCCTCCCTCCAGCAATCTTCCCCTACCTTCGCGTGTCGTAGCTCATTCCAACAATCCTCCTCTATCTCATCATCAGATTCCACTATGATTGGCTCTTCCTTGATGGCGCCGAGTCTCCTCCCCTGCTCCATTTCCTCACTCTCTCCTACTTCCACCGTGATGTCGTAGCGAACCTCCTTCTCTTGCCAAATCTGGAAAATGGCCAGAGGAGTGGGTGGCGCGCCGGCCTCGGCCCTTCGTAGGGCTTCCTTCCTTGTACCGCCAGGGGTCTTTGGGTCAAGGTAGTACCCAAATTTGTCGTACATATCCCCATCATAGTTGGTACTGATTAAACCTTCATCCTCATCGTTCCTCCGGACGTGGCAGAACTTGATGGTGTGACCTTTCTGTCCGCAATGCCAGCAAATGACATTCCTCCAATCCATTCTTCCTCTGCCAAAGCCTCTTCCACCTTCTTGACTACCCTGACTTCCTTACGCATTCCAGGCCCCATTACCTCCTCCTGTGGAACTATCACCACCATTTCCCCTTCCATTTCCTCCGCGGCCACCATTTCCTCGCCCCCGGCCCCATCCTTGATTTTGTCCACGCCCACCACCTTGGTTTCCTTGCGATCCTTGTGGGGCCGACTGTTGAGGTTGGCTTGGCTGCGGGTTCGGGTGGCTTACCTGTTGAGACTGGGGCCCTGGACACCCGCAGAAAGCCGTGCTCAATGACGCTCTTGCGCATGATCCATGCGGCCCACTCACCGGCTATGGCACGTATGAGCAGTGCGCAGGCCAAGGACTGGGAGGTCCATAACCCGGTCACGGCCCATAGGGTGCTGGCGCGACCTGACTGGGCGACTCAGGGGGTTGCAGTGTTGTCGCTTGTGGGACCAACCCCTTCCTGAGCCTTTCCCCCCTTGAGTCAAAATTTTCGCCTTTCTCTGAGCCTTTGTTAGCTTCAGATGTTCAGGTTCCTCTTCCTCTTCTTCTTCCTCCTCTTGCACCACCGCCTTCTTCGCTTTTCTCTGGGTCTGTGGTGTCGCCATAGCCTTTCTTGTTGCCTTTGCCTCTTTCGCCGCATCGAGTTGGGCAACCGCATCCTCTACCATTTTCTTAAAATCTCGTCCGTCACTCGTCGTGACATCCAGCCTGACACATTTGGAAGATGTCCACTTGGTCCAACTCTCCTTCTATCACGCCTTCTTTTATGGCAGCCCAAGTCAACTTCTTCCCTGGCGCACCCTTCTTGGTCAGCGCAGAGGCCTCCCAATTCTTGAAGTGCCCCAGGAAGGTGGCACACTCTTCTTCTTCAGCCATCCCTGTGACTTTTCTTACCATTTTTTCGAATGCCGTTGCGAAATCCCCCACCGTGGAGAACTCATCTCGCTGCAACATTTATAGGTCCGCCTTTGTTAGCAGACTATCTCCTAGCTTGAAACGCCTTTGCATCTCTCCTTTGAACTTGGTTCAATCTCCCCCTGCTCCAACAACCACCTTCATAATTTCTGGCCGGATTTCCCACCAGACATATCTGAGTAGTAACTTGAACTTATCTTCATCTGACGCCTCGCCTGTAATCTGTTGTAATAATTCCAGTCATTTAGACACCCTTTCCCCTTCAAACAGGAAGATGTCGACTTTCGACACTTGTAGTCGTGCCAACTCCCTTTTCTCAATAGCTTTAACGAAATCTTCCGGCGTAGCAGTCGGGCCTCGCTCGATTTCATCTGCGTCCGGCATCTTTATCTCTTTTTGCTAACCAACATGTTAGGAAAAAAGATAGCCCACCAGACAGCTAGTCAAGTTCCAGGGGACTTGTCCTAAGTCCTATCTAGTCGTTCCACCTCTAGATTCGACTAGCTACTCTATTATTAGTTATCCAACGCCTCAGATACAACCTTCAGACGTACTTCTAATCACTTAGTCTTATTATTATCTCATGCACAATCCTCTTATATAAGACAATCCAAACCATAAGTTTTTGTCGTTTTGCCTAGATCATCAGCATGCACTTAACCTGGGTTCGTTCTCTTAAGGACCCCGGTAGGCAACCGAGCTCCCCGGCAACGGCGCCACCTGTCGAGCGCATCGGTCCCGCACGGAGACCCTCCCGGCCGCGTCAAGCAGGAATATGCAGGACTTGTCGCGGAGAGTGTTTGCCGCTCCGGCCGAGTGCACCAGCCGTACCTCTTGAGAGCCCCTACGACAGGACAGGGTCACGCGAGGCACCGCTTACCTCCACCTGCGGGAGCTGTCAGCATCCCTTAGGTGGGCGTATCCCTGCCGAGCTACTGAACTACATGCGAAGGTTTTTCGTATGCAATTGCAGAGGTGGCTCAACCGAGGGCGTTTCTCGTTCGCTGTAGCATAGGGGGTACGCGCGGTCGAACGCCCAAAATCGAACCCGCGCGCGAATCGACGTTCTTGGGGGCTGACGTCCCAAACGCGACCCGACGTCGGTCGACTAGGACGCATCCACGCGTTACACCACAACATTCACATCTACCCACACGCAACACATGGAAACACACAAAACAAACACCACAAACAACACCACAACACAACAGCACTCCTAGTCCCTTCAGTATCCGACCCATAACTTTATGTCGTGAGACTCGGATAGCACGCTGGACTTTCGTATAAGAGTCGTGCGAGCGCATGGCCTCCTCATATCGACCAGCCATGCGGGCATACGCAAGCATTCGCGCTGATGGGGTACCACGTAGTACTCGTAGTCGGGCGGCCCTTGATATTCTCAAGGGTCGTGTTCGACACTCAAGTGTCGGCTGACAAGTGCGTTGAGGGGTTACCTTCTTGGCGCTAGACAACCGCCATGCGTGGTTGAAGACCACGCCCTCTTCTGCACCCTGTGCAGAGGGGTTGAGTAGACAGCTTCAGGGCTGTCGTGGTAGCCAAAACTCAAGGGGTTTGACTTTGACGGCTGCCACAGACTACAACGTCCAACTATGAAAACTCAAAGGAGGAAACAACTACCAATATAAAAGGACGGTCACCCCCGTTCCTCTCTCTATCTGGTCCATCGTCTGATAGCTGTTTCAGATAGAAGGTGTAGGCCAACACGAAAGATGCGTGCGGATGATGCTCTAAGATCAGACCCATAGGCCGACTGGGACTGATACCTCGCCCACGCGTCGTTTCGAGCTACCGAAACTCGGGTCTACAGGCCATAACGCTCTTTTGTCCTTTCCGCTCGACCCATAACTTTTAGGTGCGGAAATCGGTAAGTGTTGCGCGCGTGGTTTAGTATAAAGCCACGCGGACCTAGGACCTACGCATACAGACTAGCAATGCAGTCCTACGCACGCGGTCCTGATGACGACGCTTTATGTGGTGCCCATATCCGAGTGGCCTCATTCGAGCTATGGGATCGCTTTCGACGCTCAGGCGTCGGCTGAGGTGCGCGTTAAGGGGGGGGTAACCCTTTAGCAAGCGTAAAACCGTCCTGAGGGCCTTACCATCTTCAACACCCTGAGGTGTCCCAAGGGGTGCGGGGTAAGATGGTCCCTAGGGCAGGAAGGGATTCAGAGCGGTGGTGAGTTGTCTCGCGCATCACCAGCGGCACGCTAATCCTTCCGCCCGAAACTTTATCGTTCTACCAAAAATAATTTAAAACAAGAAAAAAGAAAGGGAGTACTTGATGTTGACAGGGAAAGCATGGATGCCCTGCCGGACCGAGTTGTTGGGGGACAGCCCCTCATCCTTGCGGCGCTTCTGTCTCCCCGGGCAGTACGTAGATTAGCCCCGTGCGAGGGGTGATCTCTTCCGCGCTGAGCCTGGGACCTGGGGCGTCCTGGACAAGGACCTTGAATTCCAGGCCCGAGACTAACGTCCGACCAACTAACATCATTGAGTAAGGAAATACGTGGGCGTGCGGTCACATAGGTTACCCGAGCATACGCCTACTCTAACTATCACATTACCGGGTGGGAAAAGAACAATCTCACTCAAACAAAAGGTTGTGTGGTGGTTCACTCTCACGATAGTTATGTGGTTTGCCCATCTGAATCCAAACATAATAAGTCAATAAGATTCAATCGACATTCTTTCATACATACCTGCAATCATACACACAACATTAAAACAACATCACACATGCTAAAGGGGTCAACTTTCCAACCTTCTGCAGCTCACACCCTGCCTTATGCATGCAAGCCCAACTATTTCCCCACCAATACTCAACAAAAATTCTCAGTTTTTAAGAAATGACCATTTATAAAGAAACTGGGTGAAAACCCAAAGAAACACATAAATCCCGGCAAGGGCCAATGCCTTAGGTTGAGAGGCAGGAGAGATAGGGAGTTGAGTCGTAAACCGATGAATCGGCAACCGACCTGTTATCAGTGATAACAGAAGAGCGATCCTTTTGAAGGATCACGCTGATCAGATCAAGCCTTCAAGCGAAATACGGAAACCTGCATCACAGTACAGGCCAAACGAACCACTATTATGTTTATGCCAAAGGGAAGATACTCCCCGAGCCGTGACCTACCTCCTCTACTAGTACCAAGTCCATGAGCATCTCCCCTATCCAGAATGAATCTGCTAAGTAGCTCCTAGCTGAAAAATATTACAACTCCTCAAATTCTACGAAATTTCGGCAGCGCTTCCCATAGGAAAAGTTCCTTTTCAAAATTTATACGAACAAAAAAAATGACTCACTCCTTCAGATGTGCAGAAATTTCGGCAGCGCTTCCCGTAGGAACAAGAGACGGTCAAGATTTATACAAACCTGAAAGACCAAAAGACAAAGCAAGCTATACTTGGGACTATCTTCTGACATTTGCTTGATGATTCAGAATTAGTGACAGCCCGCACGACCTCTAAATGAGAGTGTGGCTAGCCCTGAACCTAAGTCCTAGCAAGGTCAGTCCTATCTTTATCCCAAGTTTTCCCTCCCATCATCCATCTCGTCTACCTATGACTCCTGTACTTGGCGAGCATCTAGAGCAACTAGCCTATCGAAAAGACGCCCCAGAGTAACAACAGTCGTATTTTTCATCACCACTTCATGACACCCTTCACCACTTCAGGATGCAGCCTGCCTAAACAGGTGGTTTTCAGGGTCTTTAGACCTTTCACCACTTCATGACTATTCAGGTTTGAAAATCTTGAATGGTCCTGAAGTGGTGAAAGCTCCGAAGACCCTGAAAACCACCTGTTTATGCATCCTCAAGTGGTGAAGGATGGTTTTCGTGGTCTTTGGACCTTTCACCACTTCAGGACCATTCATGATTTTCAGACTACCCAAAACTTTCACTTGACCACTTCAGCACACCCTTCACCACTTCAGGATGCAGCGTGCCTAAACAGGTGGGTCTTCAGACCTTTTACCACTTCAGAACCATTCAGGATGTTCAGACTGCCAAAAACTCTCACTTCAGAATTTTCATTCCCGAATTTTCACCTACCCGATAACCACTTGTGAGCCCACAAGCATGCATAA